GCTGCTACCATTAAGCAGGCAAGTTAGGCTGCCTGGTATTATGCTTAGGATGTCTGAAAAGGAGGATATTGTTTGATCCAATGTTCATAAAATAGGAAAAATAATAATTTATAAAATAAAACAATTGTAGAACATTTATCCAACTGACAAAGCATTTATTTCAACATTAATATATTACACAATCAAAGCAAATTAAATGTGTATTCATTTTAATAAGTTAATCTAGCAAAATATTACTGCAGTGAACACTAGGGTTTAAAAAGTACTTGTCAAAACAGCCTGCTTATGAGTTAATAGCATGTCTACCTAGAATTAAAATGTTTCAATAACATAGTAACCATCTTAGACTCTTTTATTGCCTTCTAATATAGTGGAATCATAACTGAATAAGTATACTCTCCAACAGTGTGCTGCAAGTACTGATGGCCACGCAGGTAAGCATTTTAAATCTGACTTCTCCCCCTTCTATGCGTCACTAAATTTTTATTACTTGTAGTATATTCTGAACTAGTAAACAAATTTTAGTAATACTTTATATTAGTTCAAACTGTTTTCACTTAAAATATATTTTGTATGATAAGTTGTAGTTTATTAAAGGAATACCTAGTTTTGTGAATATGGTTAACTGAATATTTGTCTCATGCATGCAAAACAAGCCAATTCCTTTTATTGTCTGATTTCCCAAAACTTTCTTTAAAAAGGGTAATAGTGTACAGACAAAAGTCCTTTGGGCTCAGAACCATGTTATAGTGACTGTAGGTTCTTTCATTGATAAGATATTTCTTTGGATTTGGAGGTTCCTACAAAGGCAGTCTTGCCTGGGTGACATGTGTTTCTCTTTATAGAGCTACTCTAGTATTTCCTTACTTATACACAGAAAAGCATAATTCGATAAAACTCGCTGATAACAACTAGGCGTCACACACTGTTTCTTTCATGAGCCATGAATAATGACATCAGTCCTCTGCGTACTTTAAGAAGCTCCTCCTCTTGCTATGGTCAAAGGAAAAAAATTAGTTTTGTACTGATAATTTAAAATCAAAATTTTTAAAAAATCAAGACACTGTATATCAATGTTCATTTTATCCAGTCCCCCTGGGTATATTCCTAGATATCTACAGGATTATGTGCTCATCACTGATATTTTAGATGATCAATTGAGAGAAGACTTCTAGTCTTTTAAACCCCAAATCAAAGAAATTTGTATTTACTGTTTAAAGGAAGAAAGTAAACCAAAATAGTCTAGAAAAGAATTTCAATAAGGATCAGTCTGGTTAACTTATGCCACAACATCCTGATCCTTTACTGTTTCAGCGTGTTGAAGTTCTATTAAAATTAACTAAGTACATTAAAATATCCTGTATACAAAGATTAATACTAACATATACATAAAAATACCTCCATCCTTGAGAAAATGCCAAAGACATGTTCACTTGGAGAAGTCCCTTTAAGACATCTTCCCCCCTCTCCAGGGGACCTTTCCCCCAGAAGTCTACTAGACTTTTGGAAAGTCAGCTAATTTTATCCCCAATCTAAGTAAATGAAGTCTTGCCCAAGTAGACAATAATTCACTCTGGGATCACTCTGTCCTGACACACCTTCTTCAGAAGACACAGCAGGAGAGAGGTCTGTTGCAGTGCACAGTGCTTAGATACATACAAAGAAATCATTCTTCTAGCTAATTTTTAAATTTTCAAATTAATTTTTTTTTCTTAGGAGAGACTCATTATTTAAATCACCTCTGATATTTTACTGTAAATTTTGCTCCCTTATTTTAATTTAAAGAACTACTAGAAGAATCCCAGTGGGGCTAAAACTGCCTTCTCTCAATCCAAAAAGAAAGGAGAAAAACCTGTGGAAGATTTTTCCGTTTAAAAATATGAAAGCATGATCGATTATGCCATTTGAAAAACCCAAACTAGAGAGTTGATTTACCATTTCCTTAAGAAGCCTGTCTTGCAGCATTTTCATGTTTTCTTTCATCAAACACATCTGTGAATAAATAATTTCTCCCATGAAATTTATTATAAAATTTTCACAGCAAAAAAAAGTTAGACTAATAATAAGATTATATATAAAAACATAAAATGTATACCTCAGATGTAAAAATAGTTTCTTCATAACCAGTGTTGAAGACATTCTTGTCCAATGAAGCTTTTAAAAGGTGAAGCCTAACAAGTAAAATAATGAAAGTTACCTTTGTATTGTACTTTAATTAAATGGCGATAATATAGAATATATAATTTAACATTTTTAAACTAATACAAACTTATTGTTAATAAAAATATAATGTCATAGATTCTAATGATTAAGAATGTCATACGAACCGCTGCTGTTCACTTTTTTGATAGGCACTGAACTTGTGAAATATCTTTTCCCAAAAGTCCTAAATTTCAAAATACAAAACTAGTTATGACTAAAAATTAAAACTTGACATTAGAATTTACTATATTTCTATAATTCCTAATTTAAACAAACAACTTGGCTATATGCTAAAAATATTACAGATATCACTCTGGGATATAAAAAAAATTGAAAGCAAAATCTTTCGGAATTTCTCCCTTATTACAAAGGTATTCATTATAAACTAAATCTGTATTTTAAGTGTGTGTGTGTATATATATATATATATATATATAAATGAAACTAACTAAAAATCTAAGTTAAACTAAGTTATATTCTAAAGAACAAAAACCTTTATGGTGTGCTCTATCTAAAAGCAAAAGGTTAACAGAGGTTTTCCTGAGTATAGCTCCTTAAAAATAAGGTTTTAAAATTATTTTTAAACTCTTAAAAGCGCAAACCACAAATTCCTTCTCCAAATCTTTTAAAGACTGTGAATCTTTTTCAAAATTCTCCAGCTCCTCTGTGATGATGAATTGGAATTTATCAAGTTTTTTGATCCTATTAAAGAAACAAAATGATTTTTTTTTAAAATGATAGCTCTCAGACTACATAGCACTTAGAATATTTCAGAAGGGATTTTTAGTACAGACCTATACTCCTGAATTTGATGGTTCATTGTTTTTATATGCTGTTGGGCTGTTTTCCACAACTGCTTAGTAAAATAATCCATCAGTTTCTGGTGGATCTGAAAAATAATTTTTAACTTGAAAATCTTTACAAAATAATAATCCAACCAAGACTGTATTAAGACCAAAGCCTTTTCCATGAAATATAAATGACTAAAGAGAATTTAGAAAAGTGAAAAAAAAAGTGATTTCAACCGAAGTGTTAATAAATAAGCTCAGTCAGAGCAGAGTCTCGTTCCACCAAAGAGGTTCTAACTGAGGGTTGAATTGGTAAATTATTTTCATTAAGTACATCACATTCTACAATTTACAAAGATGCTAGTGATTGTAATTCTCCTCAGGAACACAGCCTAAGAGTCCACTCAAAATTATTTATTCCATTTTTCATAAAATATATATATTCACATCTCACAGATGTGTAACAGAATATATGAAATCAGGGCTTCTCTGTTTAGACTTGGATAAATCAAAACAAAAGAAATACACAGAATCTCAATTTCAGATTTGACCACTGAAGAGAAGAAAAAGACAAAGAGATAGGGCTGATAACCTGTGCAGGAAAATATCTTTTCTTAACAGAAGGACAAAATGAACTGTTGATTCTAAATATAGGCATGTGAGAAAAGGAGATGGGTGGCACAACAATAATTAAAAATTATTTTAGAAAGGATTTTTGCAAACATTACCTCTTTGGAGCCTCAGTAACTAAGGATACGTAAATACAGAACTGGTGAAACTAAGTGAAATGGACTTCTGTGATGGAGGTTGCTCACCCTTTATACTTACTTTATTATAGTACCTGCAATGGCAGTCACCTCTGTGAGATAAACAATGTATTAAAAAGACTAGACATGAAAAGAAAATTGTTCAGAAAAAAAAATCACGGAAGAGTCAAAATGTTAAACAAATTGAAAAGGAAAACAGGAGAGAGACAGAACCCGTAGAAAAAGAAAGGGCACAGGATAATGCACAGACTTTAGAAGAGAAACTCGGCTCTTGAGAGAGTAAGGTTTTTCACCTAGGACTCATTCCAATTTTTCACCAGTACATGAGGAAAGGTAAGTTCATGAGTGGGTTTTTGGTTGCCAAAGGCTCTAACAAACTGAGTCTAGTAGAAAGTGTGGCATGTTGTCGTATTGAGTATAAATTACAAATCATAATTTAAAGAATGACAACTCACGTGAACTTTCGTCTTGAATTCTGTGTTGAACTGCTCATACGCAATCCCTACACCTGCTATTTCAGTTTCCCAGTTCTCCCCGGGAATAGAAGAGTCATTTGTTGATAACGGAGATACACTTTCAGACACTAAAAAAAAAAAAAAAAATGAAGACAATCAGCTAAATTTAAGGTAAGCATTGTTACAAATTTAGCCTTGTTTGTCATGAGGCTGAGAACAAAATCTATGTTATTTTCAGATTCTATATGTAATCTAAGGATTATGAAATCAAAGGCAGAATTTATATTTTTTAATTTAAAATATTTTTACTTAAAAAAATCAGTCCAAATGTCCCATTTTAATGTTACTGTTTCTGCTTTAATACCCATGCTAAAAGGTTTTTTATAACTGGTTTAAACTACTTCCATGTTATTAATCCAACTATTTAGTGACACACTAATCTATCAATAAGTTCATACTCCAGTAAAACCTGTATGTGGTAATCAGTGATAGAATGATGAGGGTGGTCTATGAGTAAAAAGACCCTTACTATAACATCATTCAGATAGAGTGTCATCCTTCTTGGATGTATCGAAAGTTGTCCTTACAAAGGGATTTGCTTTATGGATGAAGTCACTAGAGATCTAAGATACCACCTTCCAAAATAACTGCATTCTGATACAGGCATTTGATCTACCGACCTTTGTCATTGTGATGATCTGCATCTTCGCCTTTAGATAGTTTTTTGGGAAGCAAGTTTGCTCTTTCTTCCAGTTCTACTTCATCATGATTACTTAGGTTGTCTTCTGTGTACATTCGTTTGCGACTAAGATGTTGTGTAGGGCCTTAGGAACAGTTAAA